GAGATGAGGTGATAGCAATGTGACGCATATTTTGTTCACACAAATAATAAGTCGGTTCTTGCTTTTGTTTTCTTCCCAAAATTATTTTTATTTATTTCCAAAATTTAAAAAAATTAATTTTAAGATTTACTCAAAAAATATTTTTAATATAAGTTTAGATGTAATTTTTTTTTTTTTTTTTTTTTTTAATTGAGGAAGGAAGGAAAAGGAAACCTGCCGACAGCATGCGGAATTGACACGAAGGCAAAGGAGATGTCAAAGATTTTACATTAAAATTCTTAAATTCCACATTTTTTATAATTAAAAAAGAATAAAAAGAAATGATATAAAATTGAAATAAAAGGTGGAAAATGGGAAAAGGACCACATTAGCAATAAGAGGGAGTAATTGATATGGAGGCAAGGTCAAAGCAGGGAACAGTTTGAGAAAATGATGGAAGGAAGGCGGTGTAGGAAAAATTAGAAGAAGAAGAAAGCAACAGCTTAACCTCACCTGTCAATGGCGGCGAGAAACAGAGGCACTGAGAGAGAAATTAAACCAACTCCTCCGGCCCTGTCCTTATGAAACATACCCATCTAAAATATTAAAACCAACCCATTTCACGTTCAAATCTGGGTAAATGTGTTTTCAAATCGTGAGACCCGACGATATAAACAAACTAAAGTGGATAATATTTGCTAGCGGAACATGTTACAAATGGTATAAGATCTAGTTAATGAATGTTGCGAGGCACTAGTTGAAGTAGAGTTAGACCTCTATATAGTTATCTACTTCGGATAAAAGTATTATAGGTCTCCCGCCGTTAAGAATTAAGAAGAAGATTGTAGATATTATAAATCATTGGTAAAATTGAAAAACATGAAAGGGGAAAGGCTATCCTCTCTCTCTTTTATTTTTTTTGCTCTAATTATTTTGGTTAATATTCTCTATGCACCAATAGATTTGAGACACGTCAATGAATTAAAAGGAAAGGAAAAGAAAGGAAACAAAGGCATTGATGGGAATCATTCCAAGGAAGAACACACAAAAACACCCATAATTTTCTTACAACATCCACCATTTATTTATTTCAGGAAAAAAAAATTTTGAACTTTGGCTCTGAAAAAAATTGAATCCTTGAGCCAAAAATGGAGAAAATTATGGTGAGGTTTAGGATTAAAGGGCTGTTTACCATCCAAGTGAGTATTAAATTTAGTCGGAAGAGATTGGGTCTTATTTCAAAAAGTAATGCATGTGACATGTAAAAGCTTAAGCTACCGGATATTCTCCTCTTTGGGTTTTCTCTCTCGAACTTCCTTTCAGTGTTTTCAAAATATGTATGGGGAGATAATCTAAGATATTGACCTATTTGAGCTTTTCATTTAGTGGATGACTCTCTCAGATGAATATAAAATTTCGTAATCCACGTCCCTTTAGAGTCTAGCAAGAATATTCTTTTTGGTACGGTGAAAAAGGAATAGAATTGGAACACGCAAACTAAGAACACACGCAGCTCAAGTGGTACCTGAGAAGTAGTTGTCTAAGGTAGTGAGTGTGGTAGGAAAATGGGCATAAAAACCAAGGGCTGCTGCGGGGATTGAGGGTGGGGCTTAGTGGTAGGCTGCAAAAGAAGAGCTTCAGTTCTTATCTGACTAGGAATTCCACCAGTTTTTTTGTTCTTGGGAAGTGGGCGTCCAATCATAAAATGCCTTTTGAAATAATTTCAATTGGAGCTCCAACAAACAAGGCCATTCTCCACTCAAAAACTTTTTAAAAAACAAAGAAACAACATATGGATCACTTCACTCCCGCTTGCTAGCTACACATATCCTATGTTTGTGAGACAAAACACCCATAAACTGCACTAAGGTTGTTTTGTTTTTGTTTTTTTTGCCGAGCCTCTTTCCATTTGGTGCTATATTCTATAATAGTCTAAGTTTAATGCTAGTACATATCGTCTATTTTGGTACGTTACGTATTACCGTCAACCTCACGATTTTAAAACGCGTCTACTAGAGAAAGATTTTCATATCTATAAACAATGTTCGGTTCTCCTCTCCAACCGATGTGGAATCTCACAATTCACCTTCTTGGGGGTTAGCATCCTCGCTGGTATACCGTTTAGTGTCTAGCTCTTATACCATTTATAACATACTAAGTGTATCGTTAGTAGATATTGTCCGTTACATTTCGCCATCAACCTCACAGATTTAAAACACGTCTACTAGGGAAAGAATGTTCCGTTCCTCTTTCCAACCGATGTGGGATCTCACAATCCCAGTATCCTTGCTAGCACATTGTCTCGTATCTAACTCTAATACCATTTATAACAACACAAACTCATTGTTAATATATATTATCTGTTTTTGCTGGTTACGTATCGCTGTCAGCCTCACTGTTTTAAAATGCATCTACTACAAAAAGATTCCTACACCCCTTATATAAGAAATGATTCGTTTTTTCCCTCCAACCAACGTGGGATCTCAAAGTCCGTGTGTCCTCATTGACACATCGCTTGGTGTCTAGCTCTAATACAATTTGTAACAACTCAAGTCCACCGCTAGTAAATATTGTCCGATTTGGTTCATTACATATCACCGTCAGCCTCACGATTTTAAAATGTATTTATTAAGAAAAACTTTCCACTTTTATAAGAAATGTTACGTTACTCTCTCCAACTAATATGAAATCTCACCGATATGATTTAGTTCATATCGAGATAGATAGAGTATGATATTGTTGACTGATAGATAGATAGGGAGAGAGGGGGCATGCATATGCATTTTGATATGGATGATATTTTTGGGTTGGAAGAAATGTATGGTGTGGTAGACCCAATTTCCTCATTTGGTGAAGCCAATTTGACCACTCTTGTTTACAGGTTTTGAGCTCTCATTGGTTGCTTCAACTTGAAAAGCCTTCCATGGAGGCTGTCTTCCTCTGCTACCTCCAATTATGATACTCATAGTGCCTCAAAGCATATTCCTCATATCTTGTCTCTCTTAAGGGGTGGGGGAAGATGCCCACGTGTCAACCAAGGGACTCCCTTTCCCCCTTCCTTCCTTCTCTTTTTCATCTCTCTCTCTCCTTTTCTTTCTAGTGGGAACCATATCTTCTCCTTCCACGCACAAACCGACCCACCAACTCTCACGATATGGTAACAGATCAACTGTGAGGCTGACGACGATATGTAACAGACTAAAATAGACAATATCTACTAGTGGTAGACTTGACATGTTTAGGTTTGGTTGCCCCTTTATAATTAAACCTACCCTTAATGCGAGACGTCTACTTAGCTCTACAACGCCATGATACTGTACATTTTGGACATAGGCGGCAGCCTTTGACTTGGTCAACAAAAAAAAAAAAAAAGTTTTGTAAACAAAAATTTGATGAGTTATGGGAGTAATGGCGAGGTGTATGAGAAAACAAAAGCAATAATGGAGGAGTTGGGGCTTGAGATCCAAAGCTATATGGGACAGTGATGCAGCAAAAAGAAGATGCAGCAGCTCTTATCACCCATTCCTTTGCTCAACGCTCCATGTCTCTCTTCCTGCAGTCCAAGGACATGGGAAAAACATTAAATTACAATCCAAACCACAAACATTGATTACAACAACAATTTATTATACAATTTGATTCTTTGTCGTTAATCAAATTTCACATAACTTTAATGGATAAAGACACAACAAAACAAAGCCTCTTACAATCTTGCATGCATGTGCACTGTCTACCATTCAATGCCTTTTCCTAACTTAACCAAGATCCATTCCTCATCCATGAATGTGTATAATGCTATTGAGCTAGCTTCATAAGAAGATTCCGTGTTGTAAGTGAGGAGCTACGGATCAAAGGTTTTAAAATAGTCTACTAGGAAGAAGTTTTCACATCGGAATAATAAATGGTTCGTTCCACTCTTCAACTGATGTGGGGTCCAATGTATTCGTTGACGCACCGCCTAGTGGCTAACTTTGATATCATTTGTAACAGCCCAACTTCACGACTAACAAATATTGTCCTATTTGGACCATTACAAATGGTATCAAAGCCAAGTTATTAGACGGTGCGAGACACTGGTTGAAGATGGGTTAGACCTTCTCCATAGTTGAGGATTGTTGGGAGTGAGTCTCACATCGACTAATTTAAGAAATGATCATGAATTTATAAGTAAAGAATACATTTTCATTGGTACGAGGCCTTTTGAGAAATTGAAAGCAAAGCCATAAGAGCTTTTGCTCACACGGGTAAGTTGAGTCTCTCCATTGTTTTTAAACTTAAATTATAAGTGTTTCCTATGCTTATAGCAAGCTTGTCCACGATGCATTCCCTTTCTAGGACACACCCAATTAGATGAAGTGTAGCAGTAAATAAAGAGCTTAGAACATTTGTGTTGTAAATCATTGATTATGTTGGGTTAAATCATGGGTACCAAAAGCTTTGGTTGTTTGCTTAAGACAATAAAAAAGGAGTATGACATTTATTATGTCGAAGAAACATTTCTTCAATCTAGGGACATCAAAACGTGACAGATTTGATTAATAGATAATGTTACAAACACAAACATGAAACTAATCTAGTCAGTCACCAAAGAATATTCTAATTATTTCATACTAACGTCAAAAACCCCCCAACAGCCTTTGTTCTTAAACAGTTCATGTGGACTGCAAGCCATGGCTTGTGGGGATGCCATAAACCCACGCTATGTCCTTATGAAACTGTTCACATTCCAATTACCACGCATCATCATGTAAAGCCAACATCTTTTGAACAAAGGAATTTGAACAAAGTTGTTAAAGTTCTTTGGGGGTTCTTAATTAGTACAAGAAATTTGGTTTGGAGGAAGAAAAAGGGATATTTTTATTGGTGGGTAAGTTGGATAAATTTCAGTCGAGGTAATGCAGTCACTTTCCCCTGTCCTCAAAAGAGTGGACCTGGAGAGAGATTTGAAAAAAAAAAAGAAAAAAAAAAAAGAAAGGAATTAGCAGCGTTCAATACTTTTGTTCCTGTACAGCTATATATGTAACCACACCACAACCTTGTTTCTCCACCAACGTGAACCACCCACAAACTTCTTTACCTCTACGACACTGAATCTGAGGCAAATTTCTAACCATTTCTCGCATACCCATTTCACAAAGTTCATCAATGGAGAAGGAAAACGAACCCAAATCACCAATTTTCAAGAGGATTTGTGTGTTTTGTGGTAGCAGCCCTGGCAAGAAGACTAGTTATAAAGATGCTGCCATTGAGCTTGGAAGAGAACTGGTAAAATCTCTCTGTTTTTCCCCCCCTCTATGTCTCTGTTCCTTATTTGAAGTGGGTTGTTCATAATTTTAGCAATGAATTGGGATATTGGGTTGTTCTATCAATTGATTGATTGACAGTTTTTTTATGGCTTTTTTGTTGGAAGGTTTCGAGGGATATTGATCTGGTTTATGGAGGAGGGAGTGTTGGATTGATGGGATTAGTCTCTCAAGCTGTTCATAATGGTGGTCGTCATGTTGTTGGGTTTGTTTTTCTTTTTCCTTTTGCCATTTTCAGGAGCTTTAACTTTATGAAAATGGTGATAATTACTCATTTCCTTTTGAATTTTGCAGTGTTATCCCCAAGACCCTTATGCCAAGGGAGGTATGTTTACTCTATTCCACTGTTATATCCAGTGTTTTGACTCATTACGTATTACTATAAAGACGTTTTTACACTATTATAAAGAATATTTCGAGTGATATAAAACCATTTAAGTAAAAAACCATGAGATTTGAATGGTGGGACACATAACTGTGTTCAGTAGCATACAGTGAACTAACACACAAATTTGGCATAAAATGGGAAGGAGTTAGTATGGGGATTGAAATGAGAGGCATTGACTGACTTTTGCAGATAACTGGAGAGACAGTGGGAGAAGTGAAGGCAGTGGCAGACATGCACCAAAGGAAGGCCGAGATGGCCAGGCGTTCTGATGCCTTTATTGCCTTACCTGGTTCGTCTTTTCTTCTCTTTTCTCTTCAATCACTATGCATAATTTGTCTGTTGCTGCTCCATTTCGCCCTGTTTTGGGCCCCAACCTCCAAGAGCCTTAGGCCAAAATAGACTCACCCCAACATTTAATATGCATAGCTACTCTACAATGTTCAAAACATGGTAATTAAATAGTTAATTATGTGATTAGAATGTTTTTTATGAAAAGATTAAACAGAGGAACGTTTTGATTATGAACAATCTCTGACAGAAGAAATTAAGGGGCAGCCTTTTTCCTGAGAATTCTGAGGTATGGCTGCCAAAATGGCAGCCTACAACCTACAATTCAAGGGTACCATCCTTAGCTCTGGAGAAAGAAAGAAAGAAAAAAAAGGGAGAAATTATAACAGATGGTCCCTAAGCCCCCAACCTCACCTCTTAAAGGTTTGAAAATGCATTTCTTATAGGGTGGTTTACACACCTTTATAAGAATTGTTTCATTCTCTTCTCCAACCGATGTAGAATTTTACAATCCATCCACCTTGGAGCTAGCGTTCTTATTGGCACACCATCCGGTGACTAGCTTTGATACATTTGTAACAGTCAAAACCCACCGCTAGCAGATATTATTTTCTTTGGGCTTTCCATCAAAGTTTTTAAAATGCGTTTTAAAACCTTGAGGGGAAGCCCAAATAGGACAATATTTGCTAACGGTGGACCACCTTGGAAGCTCAAATTTTTCTCTTTGGGCTTTCCCGGTCGAAGTTTCTAAAATGGAGGCCCAACTAATTAAGCTCCTTTTTGATGAAGGTGGGTATGGAACTTTGGAAGAGCTGCTTGAAGCTATCACCTGGGCTCAACTGGGAATTCACGATAAACCAGTAAGCCATATCATTGTTAATCCAAAACGTGTGATGTTTTATCAGTGATTAACATGAAGTGAGTTGAGTTGTTGTTCAGGTTGGACTGTTGAATGTGGATGGATACTACAATTCATTGCTGTCCTTCATTGATCAAGCGGTGGAGGAAGGTTTTATCAGCCCAAGTGCTCGCCACATCATTGTGTCTGCACCTAATGCAAAGGAGTTAGTGAAGAAAATGGAGGTAAATAGAGGCAAATGTTTTAGTTTGTTGAACCAATTTGAAAATGGATATTGAAATGGTAGGCTCTTGTGATATTAGGAGTATGTTCCACGGCATGAAAGAGTGGCTTCAAAGCTTAGCTGGGAGAGTGAACAAATAGGGTACCCTACAAAATGTGATATCTCAAGGTGAAGAGAAGAGTGGGAAGGCACTAATTTGATTTAGAAGACCAACGAATTTGCTGAAGTTGGGTTTGTTTTTGTTCTGTTTTTCTGCTTCTGCTTCTGTAAACTACCAACAAAAAGGTGGAGAAGAAAAACTGACATTAAAAAAAGAAGGTTTAAGAGTCTTATGTAGTTTGGTTGGAGCTTGGCTTCCTTGTTAGCTGTCCTAATTGTTTGTTGTTCAAAAGTCATGGAAGCTTAGCTTAGCTTAGCTTAGATCAAATCAATGTATCCAATGTTGTTTCGACCATTCTCTCGTTTCTTCGATTTCACTAATTCAATTTACGATCAAGAATCAACGCAATGACGAACAAAGCTTTATGTTGTGGTATACAAAACTTAAATGATGACTGTAACAGTCTAAGTCCACCGTTAATAGATATTGTTCGCTTTTACCCGTTACGTATCGCCGTTAGTTTCATAGTTTTAAAATGCGTCTACTAGGGAGAGGTTTTCACACCCTTATAAGAAATGTTTTGTTCCCTTCTCCAATTGATATAGGATCCCACATTGATTGGAGAGTGGACCGTATAAGGGTGTGGAATCCTCTTCCTAGATACGTTTTAAAATTGTGAAACTGTAATCGGCTAAAGTGAACAATATCTAGTAGCGATGAACTTGAGTGGTTACAGTTCCAACTAATTGAGAAGATCATTAACATATAATTGAGAATGAAAGGGTATAAATTCAATATAGGTCTTACAAAAAATAAGAATAATTAGGTATGGGGAAAAGGTAAAACTTTAGTGAGCAACGGAATACAATATTATTTTTGTTTTTAACTTTTCACCCACACAAGAATCTTTTTAACTTTTGGAATGAAAAATGATAAAAGTTAAAAGTAATTGTAAATTAATGGCAGTGAATCCAGGTTAATTATTAATATGGCAATTTTATAAATTTGCGACAATATTAGCGTGGACTATGGCAGGCTGATCCTCTTCCCCCAAGGAGAGCCCCTTCCCTTTGTCCTTTGTTACAATTATATATTTTTTTTTACAATTATATCCCTATATTTTTTTTAGTATCAGAGCTAGATACCGGATAGTGGACTAGTGAAGACGATGCCCCTAAAGAGGGTAGATTATCCTTCCTTATAAGAGTATGAAAATCTCTCCCTAATAGACACGTTTTAAAAATCACGAGAAGTCTGAATTACACTCATTTATTAGAATAAAAATTTATGAATGCAATTTTTTCTTAAATTTAATAGTTTTATTATTATTATTATTTTAAAGAAAAAGTAACTATGTATTAATCTAGCAAAAGAAAGAACTATCTTTCAAATTAAAAAGAGAGGGAAATGATTTTTTAAGAGACATTTTAATTAAAAAAAAATGTGTATGTCCTTTTAGGGACAGAGAATTTCTCTGCCCCCATTTTTTTTTTTTAAACATATTATTATTATTTAATTTTGCAAAATGAAAGATTATAAATAATAATATATATTTTTAAAAAAATAAAAAGGGTAAATGTTTAATCTAAAAGTAAAATGTTTTATTTAATTTATATACAGCTAAAATGACCAATTCTGAAACATATTTCAGAAACAAAGACACGTCCAAAACGTCGGTTGCTCCAGCCCGGCACCCGCGGCATGCAGGTAAGCGGGAGCCATCAAAGAGACGCTGCGTAGCGTTACGATTTCTTGATGAAATTCATAAGGAAAGGTAATTTTTCTCACTCGAATCAAACCAATCCAAGAGTAAAACTGGCGAATCCTTGCTAACCCGCCGCCAGGTGCTTTCTTCTCTGCGGTTCTTTTCGTGATTTACTTTTCCCGGTAACGCTTCATTCTGCAGTTTTCTATTGCTTTTTTTTTTGTCCATTTCTTCTGTTCCTTTTCCTTTTATTTGATTTGTTTCGGAGATTTGGTTTCTAATAACATTTACGTTACAGTTGTTAATGCCGACGGAATTGTTAGATCAGTTGTTTTGTACATCTTTCGGATTCGAATGCCTGAGGTTTCTAGAATTAATGCGATTTTTTCCGGTCTTATTGGACATTTATACATTGTGATTTTAAGTTTCTTTCGCCATTCATATCGGTTATTGTATGCATCTATTCATATTTGTTCTATTGTGCAGCTTGTTTTTCATGTGAATCTCGTTTTCTCTATCTCCTGCGAATTACTTACTTGAATTCTGTTTCCGTCCTTTTTTGAATTTCAATTAATTAGCATTACGAATGGACGAACCTGATCGATGGTGATTCTCGTAATTTCGCTGTCTTTTGTTTAAACTTTCAGGGCTTCGACTTTGTGCAGATTAGACTTTCACTGTCTAGGAACATCGTCTTTGCCTTGGCAAATCGCTTACAGAATTGATAATTATCAGAGAGATCGAACCTTTTGAGTTGGTATACTTGAGATTTCATTACAACTATGGGAACCGGACACCGGTATAAATATGCTAGTTGTTCGTTATTTGTGTATTGTCTCCTTGTCATTTTTCTGTTAGCTTTTCATACTGTGCTAATTTATGTGGTTTATTGGCTTTCATATTCTCTTCACAGTGGAGGAACTAGAAAAACAAATGACAGTGCAAGGATTATACTCACAACTTTAGTGGGAGTGGTCTTTGGATATTTTCTTGGTGCTTCATTTCCTTTAGTGTCTCTAAATAAGGTGTGCTTCGCTTCATCTGAATGTCAATGCAGCCCCTTATGCCTACATCCATTTGATACATTTCAAAATTTACAGATTAACTTACCTTCAAGCCTTATATCATCTCTTGATGTAGCCATTGATGTGCAAAGATCTCCTAGTATCAGAATAACTGAGATACCTGGAATAAACAAAACATCTAAGGTATTATTGTTGAATTCAGCAATTATTCTTTAGGGGAAAAGAAAAAAACTAAAATTTCATGCAGATATTTTTTGCCTTCTGTTTATTGATAAATGGTCGCAAAAGTTTGACTATCTAAATGCGTTTGTTATGGTTCTAATAAATTGCTGGTTTCTCACAATTTCTCTTATTTTATTTATAATCTACTAGATATATGTGCCAACAAATCCTCGTGGTGCAGAGTCATTACCTCCCGAAATTGTTGCATCCGAATCTGATTTTTATTTACGCAGATTATGGGGTAACCCCAGTGAGGTATATGTGCATTAATGTCTAGCCAAATTATCATTGTGCTGGTTGATCTCGAGTTCTTATTTTTAGAAAGAACTTGGAACACATTCTAAATGTTTTGTTGTTTCCTCTTTATATGGAAATGGCTCTATCTGCTCTCGAAATAATTTACCGTTCATTTTTAACAGTGGCAATTTTTTGTGTAATTTTTTAGCAATTCCGTTAAGTCTATCAATAATATCCTTAAATTTGTGTAATTTTTTAGGTATAAGTGGGGGGGAGCAGAGGAGCTTTATCATAATTGCTAATAGCTACTTTTTGTATGATCTATTTCTGCATCTGATATTAGCTGTCGAGGATCTTTTTCTTATCAACATTGCAACTTAATTGCCTCGAAATGATTTAAGCCTATACCGAAAGCCCTTAAATATGCAGGATCTCAATAAAAAACCGAAGTACTTGGTTACATTCACTGTGGGCTTTGATCAGAGAAAAAATATTGATGCAGCAGTGAAAAAGGTTATATATATTGACAATTGTTGTCCATATTGTTTATACAAATAACTACCTTGCGAAGGCTCACGCTTGATCTTGTTGTATCAGTTCTCTGATAATTTTACAATTGTACTGTTTCACTATGACGGTCGGACTACTGAGTGGGATCAGTTTGAGTGGTCAAAGACTGCAATCCATATCAGTGTCAGGAAACAAACAAAATGGTAAGTTCTGATATTTTGTATGGTTTGGGTATTTCATCCTGTATAATTTTTGTTACAATTGGAACCTGAATCACATTTTTATTTAAAAATGGATATTTAAGATCTTAAAGAAGAAGATTCAGTTTTTTGTTTTCTTATTTCTTTTTTCTTTTGCACTCCAGGTGGTACGCAAAAAGGTTTTTGCACCCTGATGTTGTAGCTGCATATGATTATATTTTTATATGGGATGAAGACCTTGGAGTTGAACATTTCAATGCAGAGAAGTAAGCATATTTTTCTTTTATCCTTTTGGTGACGTTTGGTCCGATGCTATTTATTATAGCTTGCTCATATTGATTTGACAATCAGGTATATTGAGTTAGTGAAAAAGCATGGTCTGGAAATCTCCCAACCTGGACTTGAGCCTAATAATGGACTGACATGGGAGATGACAAAGAGGAGAGGTGACAGAGAGGTTCATAAGTATGCTATTTTCTCTTTGGGTGGTATATTAGGTTCTCACCTTTCATATATACTTTGGATACTGACATGCACGTTTTCAATGGTGAAATAGGGAGACGGAAGAGAAACCAGGCTGGTGTAGTGACCCTCAGTTGCCTCCATGTGCTGCGTAAGTTTTTTTCTAGCCCAATTATGTTTCTCTTCCTTAGCAGAATATTATAAGCTGAGAACTTTGTACATGGATGAACTTAAAAGTAGTTGATGCACTTAAAGTGGTTAATATCTTTTCTATATGGAGTACTATGAGATATTATGTTTAGTGGAGAACTACTAACTGGTGCCGATCTAGTCATATGATGTCCTCATTCGTAGATCACTGGTTTCAAATGTCACAGGTTTGTAGAAATTATGGCTCCTGTTTTTTCGCGTGAAGCGTGGAGATGTGTTTGGCATTTAATTCAGGTGTACTGTTACTACATAATACGGCAGTGTTGCTTGATGATCTATAAACTTTTGCATCTACTTGTGACCTTAAGTTTTTTTTTTTACTTGCTATATCTTATCTCAGTAGTTATTTACTTGTAGAATGATTTGGTACATGGATGGGGATTAGACTTCGCTCTCAGAAGATGTATAGAGGTCAGTAATTCTCTCCTAATGTTATCCCTTTTGTGAGCCTTTCGTCTGCCATTTTTTTTTATCTGGTTTTTAACAGCTTCCTTTCAAGGAGCATTGTTGAAAAATAAAAATTAAAGTAGGTCTATCTTTTATGCATATACCTTCTGTATGAGATCATGAGATCAGCTCTTTTGTTTTGATGGGTTCCTTTCCTGCAGCCTGCACATGAGAAAATTGGTGTAGTTGATTCGCAGTGGATTGTTCATCAAGTAATTCCTTCTCTTGGGAGTCAGGTGAGTTACATTTACATGCCATATGTGTTATTATCTATTTGGCCTCATGTGTGGATGCAAATGCAGACACTCGTATTGTATCTGTGTTATTGTCTATGTTTCCTTATTTTCATTTGCTCTTCACCTCTTAATTTAGGTATCTTTTTGAAATAGGTTCCATATGTTTGATATTTTATACTTAATTGTCTATTTACTTTCAGGGCAAATCTGAGAACGGGAAGGCTCCATGGGAAGGGGTAAATATCAATGATAGCTAGTCTTTAGCATGCGAATTTCTATATCTGGGTTCAATCTCTTGTATTTTGTCAAACCAACTAAACTTGTTATTTTTTCCTTGTTTTGACCTTGCAGGTGAGAGCAAGGTGCAGAACTGAATGGACTGAGTTCCAATCTCGGCTTGCAAATGCGGACAAAGCATATCTGGCTCAGATTAATAAGGCCAAACGTTTATAGAAGGGAGACCTCCCTTCTGAACCTGTCACATGTACATGTCCTCTTCTAACCTTGAGGGCTTCTTCAATGGTGTCCTTGAGCGAGATATCTCTCTGATTCATTTGTTACAGGATTTTCATTTTGTTTAGTGATGGAGAAATAATTCATATAAAAGCAAAATACACAGCAACAGTCATTTTATTACCGGTTTCGTTCTATGTAGTGTGTCAATGTTTGGGTGATGGGAGTCAATATAACCAAGTTGTTTCAGGAAAGAAGTAATATGAATACAACACAAGTGGTTTGTTTTTTTTACTACTTTTTTGCCCCCTTTGAATTTTGTTAACAGTGTCGAGAATCCTGCTGATCTAATGTAGACTGCCCATCTGTCACTGGAGATGACGATCGACCATTGGTAATATTTATTTGAAACTAAGATATGGTTGCCGTCATTAAGAGAACCCTTTATTGAAGGCTTAACAATGCTAAGTCTGGTGGCTTAGCCTTGGAGTAAGATCCAAGGTTCCTCACCTAACAATAATGGAGTTTTCAGACACCCAACTTCTTTTGCTTGCATTGATAGACAACTGAATGTTCAGTTCACCATCCTGACTTGTCTACTAAGACTCAATATTAAGCATATGCTTCAAAACATCCAATAGTGTTTAGTTAAGTCATTTTATTTAATTTTTTTAGAGAGTAATTATTTTTGTTAAGTGAATTATGTCATAATCGTGCAATAATCGCACAGATGGGTGTGTTGGTCGTTTCAGAACAAAATGTTAGGCATTGTAACTGTAATTTGAAAATGGAGGGCTTTGAGGGTTATGGTTGCGGCTTTGCTTTCTTCCACACACACACTCTTTCTTTAAGCGGTAGGCACCAACCTTTCATCCCTCGCCCCACCAAAAATATAAGGCCACCACAATCCTACATTCTCCTTCAAGCTTTCAATCTCTCTTCCAAACTTGGCTCCCAGAAACACCTATTGAATGATGTTATAGCAGCCTATGAAATCTTGAACATCTCTCACTCAAAGCACACTTGTTTGTTTTGTTTGATTGATTGTTTCAACTTTGATATCAGAAATGGGAGAAATCTCAAATTTCCAACTGGGTGTCGTTGGGGCACTCTTCCTCTCAGTAGCATCCTCTGTGTCCATTGTTATCTGTAACAAAGCTCTCATGAGCAACCTCGGCTTCCCTTTCGGTACGTATTCTATCCGATTCTTAAGCATTTGGTCGTAGTTTAGCCTATAGAACGAATCCGATCATAACATGTTCACTTTCTATATTGCAGCAACTACTCTAACTAGTTGGCATCTGATGGTCACATATTGCACTCTTCACGTCGCTCATCGCTTAAATTTCTTCGAATCCAAACCCATCGACACAAAGACCGTCGTGCTCTTTGGGATGCTCAATGGCATCTCCATTGGATTTCTTAACTTGAGCTTGGGATTCAATTCTGTTGGATTCTACCAGGTTGAGTTCATGAGTTCTCTAGCAAACTGATCAATTGTTTATAATACAATATAGTTTAACCTTGTGGGGGTGGGGTTTGTTTTTCTCTACAGATGACAAAACTTGCAATCATACCATTCACTGTTATGTTAGAGACTATATTCCTTAAGAAACAATTCAGAGTTCTCTAGCAAACTGATCGATTGTTTTACAATACAATATGGTTTAACTTTGTGGGGGTGGGGTTTGTTTTTCTCTACAGATGACAAAACTTGCAATCATACCATTCACTGTTATGTTAGAGACTATAGTCCTTAAGAAACAATTCAGGTACAAACTTTTTCTCCTCTGCCCATTCCACTCACAAAGAACGGTTCATATTTCTCACTTGGATTCTTGTTGCAGCTCCAAGATTAGGCTCTCTCTTTTCCTCTTGCTGGTTGGAGTTGGCATTGCCTCTATCACTGATCTCCAGCTCAATTTCATGGGCACTGTTCTTTCTCTCTTGGCTATCATAACAACCTGTGTTGGCCAAATTGTATCCTTTTCCTTTTTTTTGTATGCATAAACTTTCAAGAACTTCTTGTGTTATTTCTTAACTTCGTGTTTGATTCAGCTAACCAACACTATACAGAAGAGGCTGAGTGTTTCTTCTACCCAGCTGCTGTATCAGTCTGCTCCATTTCAAGCAGCCATTCTGTTCGTCTCTGGCCCTTTCTTAGACCAATGTCTTACCAACAAAAACGTGTTTGCTTACAAGTATTCCCCTGTGGTGCTGGTATGTTAGTTACCGTCCACTGGTTTCATTGCATTGTTCTTATAATTCTCTTCTTTTAGATGAATGCCGGTGATGTTGCACATGCAGGCGTTTATCATCCTTTCTTGTTTGATATCTGTGTCTGTCAACTTTAGCACGTTTTTGGTGATTGGAAAGACGTCGCCGGTGACATACCAGGTGCTCGGTCACCTCAAGACTTGCCTTGTTCTTGGGTTTGGCTATACTCTTCTTCATGACCCCTTCACTGAGAGGAACCTCATTGGAATTCTAGTAGCCATTGCTGGGATGGGATTGTATTCATATTTTTGTACCCAAGAGAGTAAGAAGAAGCAGGGTGACCTCTGTTTAGGATCTCAGGTACTACCGGATATCTCTTACCAACGATGTGTTTACGCTGGATTATATCTAAAATTTGTGTTTGGATTTGGATTTGGATTTGTTTCAGATAAAAGATAAGGAAACTGCAGCTCTTCTAGCAGGTGTTCATCAAGATAAAGAAAGCCATGAAGTGAAGAAATCAAACAAGGATTCTCTGGTGTAATTAAGATGTATTTAGATATTGTGAAGAAAGTTTTGTTTTTTTGTTTTGTGAGGGAAAGATGGATTTGAATTCTTGAAATAAACACACCCATTTTCGAAATCGTCCAAATCTTATTTCTTTTTCTTTTTTTTTTTTTTTGTGCATAGAAGGGAGGGAGAGAGAGAGAGAGAGAGAGAGAGAGGAGAATGAAATTGGATCACATGGGTTGGCAGTGGCGTGGAAGCCGTAATGGGTGACTGCAACTTGTCGGTATAGGCGGCCCACACTAACAATTTGATAGCACTTAGGCCCAACTTAAGCCTCTTCTTTTTTAAATGATGCACCTTTTCATTTTCATTTTTGGTTTTTGTTTGTATTGATTCCAGCACGGGGAGTAGAAATTCTCATTTTTTAGTTTTTTTTTTTTTAGGTATTCCCTCCANTTTTTTTTTTTTTTTTTTTTTTTTTTTTTTTTTTTTTTTTTTTTTTTTTTTTTTTTTTTTTTTTTTTTTTTTTTTTTTTTTTTTGTGCATAGAAGGGAGGGAGAGAGAGAGAGAGAGAGAGAGAGAGGAGAATGAAATTGGATCACATGGGTTGGCAGTGGCGTGGAAGCCGTAATGGGTGACTGCAACTTGTCGGTATAGGCGGCCCACACTAACAATTTGATAGCACTTAGGCCCAACTTAAGCCTCTTCTTTTTTAAATGATGCACCTTTTCATTTTCATTTTTGGTTTTTGTTTGTATTGATTCCAGCACGGGGAGTAGAAATTCTCATTTTTTAGTTTTTTTTTTTTTAGGTATTCCCTCCAGATTTTAAAATATGTCGGTTAGTAAGAGGTTTTCACACCTTCGATATTCTGTCTGATCGATGTGAGATCCCATAATTCATCTTCTTTGGGGGCCTAGAGTCCTCGCTGGCATACTACCCGGTACTTTGGCTCGTCAGTTAGTAAGAGGTTTTCACACCTTCGATATTCTGTCTGATCGATGTGAGATCTCATAATTCATCTTCTTTGGGGGCCTAGAGTCCTCGCTGGCATACTACCCGGTACTTTGGCTCGTCAGTTAGTAAGAGGTTTTCACACCTTCGATCTTCTGTCTGATCGATGTGAGATCTCATAATTCATCTTCTTTGGGGGCCTAGAGTCCTCGCTGGCATATTGCCCGGTACTTTGGCTCGTCAGTTAGTAAGAGGTTTTCACACCTTCGATCTTCTGTCTGATCAATGTGAGATCTCATAATTCATCTTTTTTGGGGGCCTAGAGTCCTCGCTGGCATACTGCCCGATACTTTGGCTCTGATACCATTGTTACAACCCAAACCCACCACTAGCCGATATTATCCTCTTTGGACTTTTACTTTTGGGCTTCCACCGAAGAAAATGTGTTTGCTAGGGGAAGGTTTTCATACTCTTATAAGGAATGTTTTATTTCATGTACAATCGATGTGGGATCTCACAATCCACCCCCTAGGGATCCAGCGTCCTCGCTGGCACATTGCCCAATTCCTGGCTCTGATATTATTGCTACAACTCAAGCCCACCGCTAACAGATATTGTCCTCTTTGAGCTTTTTTTTTTTTTGGCTTCCCCTTAAGGTTTTAAAACCGATATGCTAGAAAGAGGTTTATAGACCCTTATAAGAAATGTTTCATTCTCTTATCAAATTGAGGTGGGATCTCACAGTCCACTCTATCAACCTAACATAGGGGCCTAATGTCCTCGCTGGCACACGGCCCAATACCTGGCTCTAATACCATTGTTACAACCGAAACCCTCGTTAGCATATATTGTGCTATTTGTGCTTTCTCTTTTGGACTTCTTCTCAAGGTTTTAAAACATAAATAACGCTTCGTTCCCTTATCCAACTCACGTGAGATCTCACGCATTTCCTCCTTCATTAATATATATTCAATAATAAATTTTAACATTAAAATCACCCATCAATCGAAAAATTTAAAATTGCTCGAATATTATGTTAAATTATCGATCGAACTCAAAAATTTAAATAGATGCATACATTAGGGATAAAATGAAAAAGGGGCATGCTCATGAATGTGGTTGATATCTATTAGTAGTAGTAGGGTTGCATTAATTGAGAGGTCATCTCTTTTAACTATCTATCTTTAATCCCTATGTCGGTATCAATGTTGGTTCCAAAACCCAACTAACTCCACACTTTCAATCTCTTTCTTTCTCACTTTTTTCTTTTTCCTTTTCCTACAAAACCCTAAAACCCTACCATTTCTTCTGCCACGTCATCATCACTTTCATGACAGCGATTCACCAATACTTGTCATAAACTTTGTCCAATTCCTCCTGATGCGACATGTCGGCAATCACGTTACTACCTCACCCAAGACCCCCTTCTGTCTCCTCCAATCATCCTAATTTTTTTTTTTTTTTTTTTTTAATGTCTATTTATTTTAAATTTGGTCACACAAAAGGATGTGGGTGTCGTATCCCATGTCGTTTTTCAGTGTCCATAAACCAATTAAATATTAAAAATACTCTTAATTTTCTTTGATAGGGATGTGAGATCTCGTATTAGTTGGTTGGAGAGGAGAACAAATTATTCTCTAAAAGGGTATGAAAATCATTTTAAGGCCATGAGACTGACTGCAATACATAAAAGTCAAAGTAGATAGTATTTATTAATAGTGGGCTTGTAACAATCCAAACCCATCACTAGGCGGTGTGAGACACTAGTTGGAGTAGGGTTAGACCTCTCCATAATAAACGTGTTTTAAAATCGTATGACAATACATTACGGGTCAAAGTGGACAATACTTGGTAACGGTGGATTTGAAAATTCATCGACATTTGTGTTGTAGTTCTTATACCGTAAAAAATAATATTAAAATTTGGGTTGGGAGCCGTAATTAAAATTAAGTGGTACAGAACAGTAGGATGGTGCTCACAACGCATTAATTAAAATTTTCTAATTAAAGCACATGAATATTAATTATCAGTAGATAATAATTAATTGTTTCACCCATTTGTTTTTCACAAAAAACAATTAAAAATAAAAAAAAAATCACCCATTATTAATAACTCAGCTCTCTTGGGTTTTCTTTTTTTAATCCCACTTTCTATTTAAAATAATTAAATAGTGCAGAAACTAGAAACACATGAATTAATATAGTGCTGACTGTTATTATTATTTTTAATTAAAGCCTAAATATATTTTTTACTTACTATATATATATTTAAATGCTTAAGGCTATAGCTTTCAATACTATAAAAATAACATTTTAAAAAAATAGAGAAATTACTTTTTAAAAATTTTAATTTAATAAATTAAACCCTTAATTTAAGATAGTTTTGTGGGTATGTTTGTAATAAATGAAATAAAATGATTTTGGAAGTTGATCTAAAAAGGGATAAAAAGAAAAAAGAGGAAAAGGTTTGGGTTATTGAGGGGAGAGCGCGTGAGGAGGTGAAGAACACGCGCGAAAGAAATAAATACAGAGAGTCAGCTGAAGAGTAAAAGAAGAGAGTAAAAACGGGAAAAGGGCATCTGTGTCGTCCTGCTTCTTCATTCACTGTGCTGTTTCTTTGTTTTGGAATTTGATGTTCATCTTCCATCCACCATTTCATTCCCTTTTAATCCATCCCACGATACGATAATACGATACGAATCCAATCCAACAATACCCATAATCCCCCCCTCCCTTCTCTTTCCCCTTCGTTTTCCTTGTTTTCAGATTGTTTGATTCTTTGTTTGTTTGGTTGTTTTGTTTTGTTTTGTTTGTTTCCTTCAACCAAGAAAACCCCTCGCTATTTGGGATCAGATCGTCGCCGGATCATCTTTTAATCGTCCTCTCTCTTTGATCTGTCGCCACTTTTGGCCTCTCTGTTTTTGCCCTTTTCTTCTGTCTTTTGAATGCTTAAGAGGAAGAAGAAGAAGGGGAACGGGTTTCTCTTCTTTTTGGTGTTCTTTGTTTACTGGGTTTGTTGTTGTTCTTCTTCTCCTTCCTGGGTTTTGACTGAAATCACCTCTGCTTCTCACTCACATCATCGTGTCTGTTTCTGAAATCATTTGGGTTTCTTTTGGAATTTCGTTTTCTGGGTTGTATTTGACTTTTTATCTATATGAACTTGAAGCAACTGGAGATGCTGAATCTGAGGATTTTGAGTTTGATTCTCACATTCCGACTCTGAGCTTCGTTTTTATTTTTCGACTGTTCTTGGTAAGGCAAATCTGTTTGTTCTTTTGAATCAAGGAAGCTGTATTATTGGCGATAAACAGAACTGGGTTTTCCTGTCCCATTTCAACAGAGTAAGGTGAGAACAACTTTTTCGTTACAATAAATCCCGATTCAATTATTTCATGGCTATAGCCTTGGGTTCTCGATTTTGATCAGTTAATTTAAGTCGCTTTGTTTGCCTGGTTATAAATTAAACACGGAGGATGTTTAATTTCATTCCACTTTGAAGGCACTGTTTCACAGTAGTTTTGATTTTTTCCCTTTTCTCAGGCATTGCATTTGGGGGAAAACGCAATCATTCGAATGAAAGAAGCGGATAAGAACTTGGATCCTCAACTATGGCATGCCTGTGCGGGAGGCATGGTCCAGATGCCTGCTATTAACTCCAAGGTCTTTTACTTCCCTCAGGGTCATGCCGAGCACGCTCAGGCCGCCGTCGATTTCACTTCTTCACTTAGAATCCCGCCGCTTATTCCATGTAGAGTGCTCGCCGTCAAGTTCTTGGCTGATAATGAAACGGATGAAGTTTATGGGAATGTACGACTGGTTCCACTGGCGAACAACGAAATTAATTGCGAGGAAGAGGGTGGTTTTGGGAGTAATGGGTCTGAGAATAACATGGAGAAACCGGCTTCCTTTGCCAAGACGTTGACCCAATCCGATGCTAACAACGGCGGTGGGTTCTCGGTTCCGAGGTACTGTGCGGAGACGATATTTCCGAGGCTGGATTACACGGCGGATCCACCGGTTCAGACGGTGATTGCTAAGGATGTCCACGGCGAGGTTTGGAAGTTTCGGCATATTTACAGGGGGACGCCTCGTCGGCATTTATTAACTACTGGGTGGAGTAGTTTTGTCAATCAGAAGAAGCTTGTCGCCGGCGATTCGATTGTTTTTCTGAGATCCA